CCGATCCTAATCTACTATTATGACTAAAATCAAACCAACCCTAAAAAAAAGAAAAGTAAGTCCAGTAAGTGGTAAAAACCAAAAAGCCCAATTTAAAAAGTATCTAGAACGAATTGAAGATCCTAATTATCAAGGAGAAGAAAATCAAGATTTGCCAGAGAATGCTACTCCACTTGAAAAAGCTAAATTTGATATTTGCCAAAGAATTCTCGCTTACAAAAGAAAAAATAACCTTACTCGTGAACAAGTAGCTCAAACCATCCAATTAAGTAAAGCTGAAACGGAAGAAATATTGTTTTGCCACATCGAAAAGTTTACTTTAGACCGACTAGTTGCTTATGCTAGTAACTTATTTAATCCCTTGGAGGTTAAAGTGGTAAAAGCTAGAAGTAGAGTCCCACTTTCATTCAAAAGAATTAGCATTTAGAAAATGATAAATAAGAAAGAAAAAACCTGAGAATATGATTGTCAACTAACTTTTTATGGTTATCAAATAACTAAATTAACTATTACTGACCATTTTCAAATCAACCATCCTGAAATGAGTTTGAGTTTGATTGTAAAACTAGTAAAGAAGTTAGATAACAAAGAAGTTGAACTAACCGATTATATTGGTTCTCGCAAAGTATTCCGTTGAAGAACTACTTATCAAGGTCAAAGTTATCGATTGATTTTTTGATTTAAGGATAATGAAACTAATCATTTATGGGTTAGGAATTGTTATCCAATTGGTTAGTACTTTTACCTTTTAAAAAAACAAAAAGAATATGACTCGTAATAAAAAAACCCTTAGAAAACCCGTAAAGATGGGTGCTAGTTTAGGAAATAACGGAGTAGGATCGGCACAATTTACCAATGCTGAAGATATGAAAAACCGTTTCTTCAATAATGCCGCTAATCGTCGTAAGGCTGGTGATAAAGCCCATGGTGATGCTGCTTACTGAATTAATGGAATGTGTAATTGAGGAGGAGAACATTATCTAATGAAAGACTGTGAAGCATTGGCGACATTTTTTAACAGTTTTGCTGATATAGATAGTCTTAAAAGAGAAATGACTTTGGCTGTCAGTGAGCAAGAATTTAACACTAGAAAAAGTCGGTTAGTCAGTAAAATCCAATACTGTATAAGTAAATGCCAAACTTCTAGCACCTGTTCTATTGCTTATGTCTGTTGTATTTGAAATGATTATTTTGGTAGTTTTTTGAAACCTTTTTTAAATAGATTTCAGCAAAAATTACAAACTGACCTTTCTAACATACAGTCTATTACTCCTGTTCACCAACAAGAAATTATTCAATTGGAAGCCGAAATTAAGGCAGTCGAAGCCAAATATCAAGAAAATTTTGCTAAGGCTAATAAAGAAACAGATCCGGTTAAAAAGGCTAATTTTGTAGCATTGGCTAATGAAGCACTAGATGAAGTTAAAAGACTCAAGAATAAATATAGTCAAAACCCAATAGCCAACTTAGGCAAATTTGACTATTCTAATGACTGACAAAGACTTATTAATGGAAATTTAACATCTGAATTACCTACACCGCCAAATAATCCCAGTAATCCAAGCGGAGGCACTAACCCTACCGGTGGGTCAACTTCTTGAACTTCCTGAGGAGGTAGTTCTAGTTCTAATAACCAACCATCAACTAACCAACAGCAACTCCTAATTTTTGCGGGTATTGCCGTTCTAGTAATCTTCTATCTCCTAAACCAAAAAGACTATGACTAATTCACAAGACCTAAAAAATAAACTCGGTGAAACCACCGAACAAATCGAAGCCGTAATTACTCCTCTTTATACTAGTTTAAAATCCTACCAAAGAGGTTTAATTTTAATTGCTCTTGTTGCTTTGTTAATCTTTACCATCTACTATCTCACTAAATCTGAACCAAAAGTATCGGCTAAAAAAGAAGCCCAAGTCGAAGAAAGATTATTACGACAAATGGCTTTTTTTAAACGACTAAAAGAATAATGTACAACATCGACCATTACTTTGATTTTGATTCTCCTCCAAAATCAGTCATTAAATCTAAGCAAAAGAAACAGCAACAACAGCAAATGTTCCTTTTACTCTTATTAGCAGCTGCTGGTGCTTATTACTTTATGGTTTATTTACCGGAGGAAGAAAGGAAAGTTTTAGAAAATCAAATTCAAACTAAATTGGATGAAGTGAAAAATATTAAACCAGAAGAGCATTCTAACATTCCTACTTTATTAACTGCTTGTCAAGGTTATTTATTATGAAAGGATAGCACAGAAACTAAAAAAATGGCTTTAAATAATAAAAAAGAAGCATTAGATGGTGCTATTAAATGATTAGAGGAAAATCAAGAAACTCCTGAAAAAATGGAAGATAATCTTTTTAAAGCAGGGAGAATTTGAGAATTACCAGCTCATGGTTGAGCTGATCGAGAAGTAAAGAAGATCTCGGGTGTTTTAGCTAATGAATACAAAGAAGAAGCCGACTTATTCCAAGGAAAGAAATTTGACTTTTCTCGTAGTGCTACTTACACTATTTATTTTCCCCCTGCCTTGAAAGAATATTATGAAAAAGGCAAATCGACAGGAGATATTAACTGTCAAATGATTGAAGAAAAGAAAGATTTGATTCTCTCAAAAGAAATAACGACTTGAGAAAATATAGCAGTTGCCAACCCGACCAGAGGCATTCCTGATCCAAATACAAAAAGAGACAATAATGCTCTTTTTTATGGAGCACCTGGCACCGGCAAGACTGCCACTACCCAAAATATCTGCTTTAAGGCAAATAAATATCCCTTAGTAGAAATAAAAGGTTCTTCTTTAACCCCACGAATAAAAGTAAAAATGAATGTTGCTGAGAAGTTTTATTATACTCTTAGTGAAATAGAATGAAAATTATATAAAACTTATTGCTTAGAAAGAGAAACTAATGGCGAAATTCGTTATATTCTGTTTGTAGATGAATGTAATCAGATAAGTAATAATGCAATGGCTTTTGATGCTAATAAATTACAATTCATTAAAGATTGCTTGGGATGTAGTGATGATCGGAAAAATGAAAGTCATAATCTTTGGATTTTTGCCACTAATCACTTAGACCAAATCGAAGAGGCTTCTTACCGAGCGGGAAGACTAAGTAATGCTTTAGATTTTAGTTGAACCTGAGGCGATTTTCTGAAGCATGCTGAAAAAGTTGGCATTATTAGTCAAATACCTGAACGTTGGAAAAAGAATGAAACTTCTGACCCAGAAGTAGACCAATGAGTAAAAAAGTTTTCTATCCCTATTTTTTACAAAGACTTTCTGGGAGATGACCCTAAGCAACGTGATAAACCTAAATTTTGAGACTTATTTATTAGCACCAATCCCAATGCTATCCTTAAAGAAGAAATTGAAATCGAAGATGAAAATGGTAACCCAAAAAAAGAAATGGAAGAGTCTGAAATTGAATTAGATGAATTTTTAGAATTTTTCTGATATTTGAGAAAAAGCGGTCAATTGATAAACTACAAAGGAAAATTTAAATCTGCAAAGAAACCCAAAACCGAAGAGGTATTAAATGATAGTCTGCCTGAGATGTCTAATACATTACTTGACTCTTCTAATAATTTGACCATTAGTTTAGAAAATATAACAGAGCAATTAAAAGGAATTATGCAGCAGATGGGATCATCATCCTCAAATACATTGATTCAAGACGACATCCGCGAACTCCGTCAGCAACTAGCAGAATTATCCAAAGAAGTATATAGAAGATATTAAAAATATGAATCAAAAAGAAAAAATAACCCAAATAGAATCTAAAATCAAAGAAATTAAATCCACCCTATCCCTCTGAACTAAAAATATTAAGACCTACCATTCACAATTAGAAAATTTAACCAAACAATTAAAACTAATCAAAAAGCAAATCAAATAATATGAAATCCATAATCAATAAAGTCCTAAGGACTATAAACCTCAAATAATTATGTCACTCTGAAGTTGAATTAAAGAAAATACAACTACTATTGTAGCAACGGTTGCCACCGCTGTGGTCACTGGTGGTGCTTCACTAGTTATCCAAGCTGCCGCCATTGGTGGTGCTTATTTAGTAGGTTCTGCCTTAGATGCTGACCGCAAACAAAAAGAACAAGAAGATAAAAAACTAAACTTAGCTGGAAAAGCAGGTGAAGTAGTCTCTGGTCAAGTAAATGATTTACAAAACCGGAGAAATAAAGTCGTTCAAGAATCCGAAGAACTAATCAAAGAAATGCAAAAGCACAAGGCTAAGTTAAATGACCCGAATGCTACTCCGGAAGAAAAAGAATTAGCCAAAAAGATGATCCCCATTATCCAAACTCAGTTAGATGACAAAACTAGAATCATAACTGACTATGACAAAAAAATAGCAGATTTATTAAAAAACATTCCCGGAGTAGATAATAAAAAAGGAGGATTGATTAATTTAGAAAGCATGGATCCTCAAACTAAAATGATAATAGGAGTCATTGTTTTTTTAGTAATTTACTTTGCTTTCATTAAAGAGAAAGAAAAAGATTAAATAAAAACTGGCAAAATATCCAGTAGACAAGGTTCTTTTTTTTAAAATTATAATATAGATAAAATTATGAACATGGACAAAAAGCAAGTTTTAAATATAGTCAGAACTTATCTTTATTCTGAACCTTTTCTTCCGGAGGCGAAAAAGGAATTAAAAGAAATAGAGTTGATCGCTAATTTTAAGGAAAAACATAAACGAGCTAGTATTGTTTATAATTATCATAAAACTTATTCCGAACTAGTCAAAGGTTATGCTAAGGATTATAATTTGTTAGCAGAAACTAATGGAGTTGTAGAATATGGGGAGATAATAGACAAACTTCATGATATCATAATTAAAGATGGTGAAGAAAATAAAAAAAACAATTGAGGAGAAAGAGACAAATACACTTGCGAATGATGTAAAAAAAATAAATCGGGTCAGTATTGACATCAAACCTTTAATGGAAGGCAACCAATAGCAATGGGTAGAGATCAAAAAAAATTCTGTTCCCAACCATGTCTAAACTTCTGAAATCAAAACAACCTAAAAGAACCAACTAATAACAGTTCTGAAATAATCTGCCATGAATGCAATAAATTCTTCTCAGGGCAGTATTGACACAAAAATAATCCTCGAGAAAGAACCATTCATAAATTCTGTTCTGAAAGTTGTTGTAATACTTACTGAACTAAAAAACAGTGTTCTGGTGCTGACTGTTCCAACTTACTGACTAGTGAGGAAATCTGTTATTGTTCTCCTTGCTCTGCTCAACAAGACCAAATTTGGAAGAATCTAGAAAAAAATCAGCAAGATATTAATCAGGACTTAGCTAATTTTAACCAAGGACTTAATGATTATGTGGAAAATCAAAAGGATAATGCTGGTAATAGTAATCTAAGTAATAATAATTCACACATAAGAGAGAGAGAGAGAGAGAGAGAGAGAGAGAGAGAGAGAGAGAGAGCAAATCCAGTCTCGACAACAACAATTACTTTCTGAAATCATGAATTTAGAACAAAGTCCTACTAGTTCTAATAACCAAGAATTAGACGCTAAAAAACAGCAACTAAAAGACTTACAATCTAAAGAAAAATCTCTCACTAAGTCTTTACCAATAGATACTCAGATTAGTATTTTACAAAAGGAAATTAGCAATTTAGAGAAAAATTCTAACAAAAACCATATAGAAACAGCATTATTAGCCGATAAAAAACAACAATTAGCGGAATTATTGAAAAAACAAAGTAATTCTGATGCTAATACTACTAAACCTAGTGATAAAACAGCTCTTTATGTAGGGCTAGGAATAATTGGAGTAGTTTTAATTGGTTTAGTGCTTATTTTAGTCAGAAGAAATAAGAAAAAAAGTAAATATTAAATTGCCTATGGTCAGAATGATAAAAATAGCAAATTAGCATAATTACAAAAAAAAATCGCTACCTAATTTGTTATAATTTCTTGAAGGCAGAAGTAGTGATTGTAAAACATAAATTTTAAACAAAATAGCTAATAAAAGCATTATAAATTTAACAACAATATGGTGAATGCACAAGAGTGATTGGATAAAGAATATCCATTAGAAAAAAGAAGTGAAATTAAAGAATTAAACATAAGTTATGATGAATTGTATAAGCAAGGATTACTAACTAAAAATGAACATTTAGAGGGATCGCTAGATATAAGACATTTTCCTAGTTTAGAAAAATTTGATTGCAAAAATAATAGACTAACTAGTCTGACTTTAACCAGTTTGTATAAATTAATGTCAGTAGATTGTTCTGACAATCAAATTAATGACATATCTACTGAGTTATGTATGGTTCTTAATGAATTAATGTTTCACAATAATCCATTAAAGAGCCTAGATATTAGTAACTGTGATTGTCTTGATAAAAGAAAGATTACATGAACCTGTAATGCTCAAGAATGACTAGATGAAAACTATC